ATTAGAAAAGGTTGATTGAAACAAAATTCAAAAAATTGTCCTCGATTTCGTAGTTTTTATGCTCGCTTGAGGTGATTCTTACTTTTCTGAAAAAGAGTTCTGAATGGGAGATGGAAACACCTTTGCCGAATAAGTTCTGACGTAGTGAACATTTGACTCACATGACTGATCAGCTGTTTCTTTGTCTTTTTCTCTGGACAGCGTGAAACATGGCCAATAAGATTATGCATTTTCTTTTTTTCTCTTTTTTTCAATATTTCGCAAGTTTACTCAAAGTTCGCTTAACAATCAGATGGAAAAGTAGCTACTGTTCCGTTACTTGCTTGAAGTTAATCTTCACTAACCCAAGCACAAGAAAATATTTTGTTTATTACCACAGCTTAGACCTGTAAAATCGTTTAACATCCCTGATCTATTGAATAATTAGCATACAACTATTATTGCTACAAATAATTATTATACCACAAAGTCTTACTTTAAAATGATACAGGACATAATTTCATACATCTCTATATATTAAGCATATCTGTTCCATCTCAAGTACAGCAAACATTATAAAGGCAGAGGCTATTACAGAAGCCAGGTTGTATAGTAATTGCAATCAAACCTATTCAGTCATTCAGAATGTAAATCTATAGAAAATATTTTACAAACAGTCCTCTGTGTGCCTCTGTGTTCACAGACATGCAGATTAGTAACTCAAGAATTTACTGAATTTACTCAAGAATTTACTGTGGCTGCTTCTGGAGCTTGAACAGCCAAATTACCACCCTCATTCTCTCCTCATAACACATCTGTGCTGGATTACTCATACTCACATAGCTCGAACAACACGGTGGCTTTCATAGCCCATTCCCACATTCAGGTTTCTACATAATGAGTGTTAGTGGCTGGAAGATTCATGCTCTTTTTTTCCATTTGATAATTTTAACAATTCCACTTCTACTGTCCAGCGAGGCAGGCCAATCACAACAAATTGTCCTTTATAGAGGATTTATTATGTAAAATTACCACCTAAATTGCAGCTTGAGTTGAGTCTGTCAAATAGGTACCATTCATATACTTTGTCCTAGCACTGTAGCACAGTAGCAGACAGCAGCACCTCACAGCAGACTGGTTAGACAAGAGACAATATTTGAGAGCATGATTCATCCTTCTCATCACCGCTTTTCTGCATGTCACTCTCATTCACTAATTGTCACTCTCTTTCTCTCTCGCACTCTCAATAGAAGTACACAGCCGAAAATATTCACTGCCCATTAATATACAGTAGAAACCTAACAATGAACTCAAAGTTCCCTTTCTTTCTAAGAAACCATTATCGGTGACATTTTAAATGTCCCACACAAATCCAGGAGAGGCTACATTTTGGCCTCTGCTTTTCAAATGTTTAACTAAATGCTGAAAAGTCTATGACAAGAATTGGACCCGACATAAGCCTACATTCGGGTGGACATGAAGGCGGGGGAACTGACGTTGTGGGGCAGCTGGTCTGGCCGGACAATCAGCACCTGTTAGTGAGCCGCGGGTGTTTGTGCTTTTGTCCTCTGCGTGAAGAACTGGCAGGTTGCATGTCCATCAAGAGATGTCTGGTCGCAGTGTCTGATCGCAGCATAGCAGGTGGCGACCGCTGTTACGAGGAGAGCTCCATGTAACGTTAGGGGTAGGCTAAAGTAGTCAGGGAGACCCAGGTAGGGATCGGCTGCGTATTTGGTGGGATTTCATGTTTTCTATTATCTTTTATACATACATATGTATAAAATAATATGAATGCAACAATTGTATGGAGTTGTGTTTTTTTAGTTTGGGTTGCAGGTAACTTAGTGGGTAACTGTCTTAGTGGTTTTCTTTTCCTTGTTTTGTTTTGTTCTGTTCTGAAGGTAGAGCTTAGCATCCTGCATGTGGGACAAACTGGCCCATTGACTGTGAGCTCCCCTTGCACTGGGTTAACGTGTCGTGTTATATTTACTGCATGTCGGCTAGTGTGTGTTTTATGGGCTCATTGATATCTCAGCCAACCTGTCACTTTGTGCTTCACATTGTTTTAATACCTATTTTTTGATTAATAAAGGTTAAGATTTTAATATAACTGCTATCATACTTGCCTTCAGGGTGCTAGGAACTTGTTTGTGGCTCCAAGGGGGGCCTCCACTATCTTCCAATTTCTTAGCTGTATTTATTGTATTTCACGTATTTAACCAAGAATGATAGAGCTAGAGACTGAATGAATTTCTTGGGACCACTGGGTAGTAGGATTAGGGTAGTTAGCTCTTAGGGTTTTCTGTATGTAGGTTAGAAATTATACTGTAGATTGCATGTGCTTCATTTATTTGTAGTATTTATTTAGACAATGTGTCAGTTTATCTAAAAAGATACATTTCTCTGTTTGTTCATATCACTTTTTCTGTCCTCTATATGGTCCTGTTAAGTTTTCTAGTGGACTAAAAAAGCAACAGATTTTATTATCTAGTACCAAATAGTTAAAACTCCCATCTGCAATTTATATATAAAATATCGATACTTGCACAAGCTAAAAAGTGTCCCTTTTCACAAATATTTCTCATTTTAATGTTTTGTGAAAAAACTAAACTGGAATGAACTAAACTGAACTGAGCTTGGCATCCTACAGCGACAAAGACCAACACTGAAACTCGTGCAAAATCCAAACTATAATAACCTTGCTGTATACAGAACAGTATTTTGCAATATCCTGGATAGACTGTAGGTTCTTAAGTGTTGTAGTCCTGTCAATTTCTAACAAGAAATACAAAGGATGCAAAGACAGCTGCATTTATTACTGTGGCAATTGTAAAAGTAGCAGAAATTATGCACCAATAATGCAAAATGTATATTTTCAGAGGGACAGACAATACTTAGTTTCTCGTGTGATATTTATGGAGCGCACTTCAAAGTCATTAAACTGTTCTCACTAGCAATAATATTAAATACAAGAAAAGCACACCTTGTCACACACAAAGGGTGAAAATGGCTTGCTTTGTTGTTTAACTCAATGGTAATTTATTCATTCGATTATTATGTGTTACAGCATGTTTCAATAGTGTTTCACGACAAAATCAGTATATGCTGAAAAATAAAAAAGTATTTCTCAGTGAAGTTGAACTGAAATGCAAAATAATCTTGACAATGACAAGAGTGAAAAAAACTGATTGATGCATAAATTATCAAAACTGCTGTTCTACAATTTGTAATCAACAGCAGCTCCCCACTATTGTTCTCTCTCTCCCCCCTTTCTCTAACACACAAAAACACACAATTGACACTGTTAATTCCTGTGTCAATCAGCACCTGATGGGATTTGATGAAAATATGCATTGAATTCTCTGTGCTATCTGTATGCACACAAACACACAGACACCGCCTTGTGCCACTATCTTCGTAGGGACCCATCATTGACATAATACATTTAACCCTTAAGCCAATTCTACCCCTAAGAGAGGGCGATACTGGATTGGATTTTCACTCAAGTTCCAATCCCGTGACTCACAGGATTCCTGAAATAATGTCAGCCAGTAACCCCTAACTCAAAAAAGCAGGTCTTAACCCTCAAACATCCCTTTAAACTAGGGCTGAACGATTTGGGGTAAAAAATTGTGATGCAAGGACAACTGAACAAATTAACAAAATGTGAACAACTCAGGAAAATCAGGCAGGATAAATGCTCTTTTTCTGAAATGCTCCATGTGGATGTAGCTGTACAGAGAGCAGAACAGAACGGGCTCACAGAACGCTGTTATTGGTAGTTGAAGCACACAGAATGGCAAATTAACAACACATCAACATAGAGCATGACATAGCAGCCGCCTGTCTCGGTTCGCGTGACACCATTATCCCACATTTCTCTCTAGTTTCGTTTCTTGTTGTCAAATGTACACGCCCTGTACCCACTGATTGGTGAGCAGGACCGTAACAGGAGGCGTATGGCACTAGTGATTGGTTAGCAAGCTGTCACACAAGGATGATAACGGAATGAATCTGTTACTGCATGACTGTTTAAAACGGGTCAGATACGCTGTATAATTAACCTACATTTTAACATTCTAATCGCGTTCTTTCAAATCGCAATTTCGATGAATCGTTCAGCCCTACTTTAAACTTGTGGAATAGTAAAACTAATGCACACACACTTTTTCTCCCTTATCTGCATCTGCACTTACTAACATCTCCCTGTATTTTAGACCTGCCATTCTTCACCTGTACACTAGTCGCCCCCACTGAGTTCCTGCTTCAGACGATCACATAATCAGGCACCTGTTCCCCATTGCATCATTAGTCACAGTATAAACAGGGCCAAGCCAGTAGTCACACTTTGCTAGATTGTCTTGGTTGCACAATAGCCTTACTGTGCCAGTGTTTGTCCTTTTCGGCCTCTCTGGTATCTGTGTTTGTGACCCCATGCCTGCCATTGACCACTGTATACCAGCACTGCCATTTTTGTTTGCTAAACCGGACTGCCTTTGTGTTGCTGTGTATAAGCTTCCCTATCCAACAAATAAAGATTTTATTGAACATGCTTTGCCTTCTGCATCTGTTCATATCCATATATATATTCATATATAAAATTTAACAGAGAGTTGTAAAAATGTCCATCCACTATGTTTTATTTTCTGAATAAAACATTAGTATGTTGATGTGTTTTACATATTAGGCCAATAAAGAACATTACAGTGCTACCTGCTGAGTACTTTTTGTTTCATTTTAACATAGCAACACAAAACAGATCTGGTTCATGTCTGTGTGACATCAAGCACACATTGTTCTTATGCAAAGCTCTGAAGGCTATGCGGGGCCTAAAGAGACCTAGAGAGAACTAACAAACAAACTCTTTTTACTCTTAAAGAATAAAATGTAACCAGAGCCACTTGGCCATTCAAGCTATGACAACAGTTTTATGTACTATGTATGTGTCATTCACTCAGTTTAGAAGGCTGCACAAAGCATAAGCTCTTAAGATGTCATGATGACAAGAGTGCACAGCTTACCTTGGTGTGGAGCTTAGACAGCTGCTTTTCATCCAGGTGAGTCTGGGTGTAGACACGTCTTTTATAGCGGAACTGAAACAACAACAAATACAAGAGGCTATGCAGTTAAATTTTAACTTCATGTTTATGTCTTGACTGCTTGACAAAATCACTACAAACAAAAAACAATAATAGTTTTAATTATAAAAGTCTTTCCAAATTAATTTGTCGCACAATATCAACTCCTCAGACCTGTATCTATGTGTATATTAATGTTTAATTAAATATTGGATTGTCCTGCGAGAGAGAAGATGAGAGAGCAGATACAGAAATTCTGACTCATTACACGGCTGTTGTCTTTTTCCAGCACTCCTGCTTGTCATCTTCTCCATGTATTGTATCTAGCATGAAAATGTAGGTTAAAGCTTAAATATGAAATATAAATTGTAAAACAATAAAAACACGGTTTTTAATTTCAACTGAATAAATGCGCAGGAGGAATAAGCGGGTCCATTTAATAAAGAGAATGTATTTTCCCCCACTTCTACTGTCAATTAATTTCCAAATGACTTAATGTAAAATATTACATTTCTTTTCCAACTTAAAAACATTTAAAAAACTCTTGATGTACTTTCACAACTGCAGAATCTGGCATGGTTTCGGGTCTATACTATGTAGCTCTGGTTTCTGGACCCTTTCCCAACTTGTCAAAAGCCAGATCATTCATTAAGTCTGTTGCAAGCTGCTTGTTTAATAGTCAGGTTTCACAGAAAACTGACAGCCTGTAATAGCTTTAAAAATGTGTAACTTCCACTGCCCGGTCTTGCAATGTATTTTATTTTGTGTGTGTGTGTGTGTGTGTGTATGTGCATGTTAGTTTCTCCACAGATGTGTGGTGTTCACCAAATCCACAACAGAGCAGAAGGGTTCTGAGCTGCTAATCCAAACCTGTCAATCATCTCTACACACCACTGGCCTCAGGGAATGACTGCTGGTCAATCAATGACACACACAGTACAACAGAGTAGTAGCAGATAGGGCTGCTCAATTTTGGCAAAAATCCTAATCACGATTATTTTGGTCAATCACGGTTATTTAACAGGATTACTCATTAATTTAGGAAACATGATTAATTTATTGAACTTTTAAAATGTAATGCTTCATTATTTAAAACGATTATGCATTACACCAATTGAAATTAGAAATAGTAGTCCAACATTATAAACTTTAAACAGTATCTAGAGCACGAGAGGATGACAGCAATGCAGTATTTCCCCAAGATGACTGCTGTGGGGGACAGATTACATTACATGATGCTGAAATTCAACTGTGGTGTTCTGTTGGGAGATGCATTTACTTAAACCAACAGTGAGTAACAAAACTATAAATTAGTATGGGGTTAGAATACACGGACACAGTGGATATTTTACATTTAAGAACCAGGTAAAGAAACACTAAACACATCTGGTTTAGTGTAAGTATACATAATAATTATTAGTTAAGCTATTAGTTATAGCAGTTATAATCCCAGTCATCTTGGCTTTAGCTGAACTAAACATCATAGACTGGCTGAGAGTGAGTTTGAGCTTTAAGAGAGGGGCAGGAGCCACCACTGTAAGGGATAGGGTGTGCTGGATTTATAAGACAAAAAGAGTGTCATTGCAAAACTGCATGCCGCACAATAATAGTTTTATCTCAACTAACTTGTTTTTATAATTATTGGAAGCCAAAATCATAACTGAGATTAAAATTTGATTAATTGCACAGCCCTAGAAGCAGACACTCACACACACAACTATACAAGCTTCCTTGTGAGAGCCTTCCTTGTATACAGTTCAACTGTTGTTTTAATAGCATATGAGTATTGGCATGTGTCCATGCTGTTCTACTGGCATAGTCATTGATGTTCCTGACATATAACACTTCCCACCAGCAGATGCCATTTCAAACTAGTAGGTCATCATTGCTTTCAGCTCAGACAGTTAGTTTTTCCTCACTCGCTTTAGCACATATCTCAGATCAGAATTGAAATTCACAAAACTACTTGTTCAACCTCCACATCATCTTGTCAAGTGTGCACATGATAAAAGCAATTTTTCATTGTTTTGAACATATTGCAAATGCTTTGACACATTGAACCAAATGATTATGTACAATTGTTTGCTGTTGCCTACATTATCAATTGATTATGTCATGCTGATCACAATGACTTATACCAGTTCTTTGTTGAATAGTCTTACCCCCAAAACATCTCAGCACAAATTCATTGCATAAGTCACTACATGCAAAATGGCTGAACATGTTGACAAAATCAAAGTTACAGTTTTTCTCAGTCGCTATAGTACTTTTCTCAGATCAGAATTGAAATTCTCAAAACTGCATATTCAACCTCCACATGATTTCGTCACTTGTGCACATCATAAAAGCGATTTCTCATTGTTTAGAACAAATTGCAAATGCTTTGACACATTGATGCAAAAGATTATGTACAGACCATGGTGCATAAACCAAATAAGAACAGACAACAACAAATCACAACATACTACAGTAGCAACACAGCCCTCAGACCATTCACCGGATACACACAATACCATACACATATGCTTACATTTCTAATTTTGTAATTTCTTCCGTTGTGATTTGCAGTGCTGTAAAACAGTCCTTTCTTTTCTGCATCACAATGACATGGTCTGTCAACAAATCACAGTACAAACAGTAAAGACGTAACTGTGAATCCTTTCCAATCTCTTGCAATGTATAACTTTATACTTTTGAAATTGATATGCCATAAAAAGTGAAGCCTTGTGCATTTTCAATCATTCTGATCAAAACATCAGACGTGCATGTGTTATATCAAATAATGTTTTACTAAATGTGAGTTGTCAATTCTCAACACAGCTTAATCAAGTCTATATTAGCATTTGTTAAGAAACATGTGTCTGATTCTATGACATCAATGTGGGTTAAATCCTGGAAAGGTACTCCAGCCTGACAGTTTTCAAAAGGTCTACTTTTGTTGACTACTGCCGCTAAAAGCCCAACTGTAACAGTAAATCGAATCTGAAATAACAATGGCCATGATAAGAAAGTGAGAGAGAAAAATTACTGATACAGAGTGAAGAGAGGAATACAAATAATCCTACCATGAGCCTACAACATGCTTATACATTTCTTCACTGCTGATAGCCAAATATGTACCACCAAAGAAAAAATGGGAAAGTCTTTTCATTCATGAGATATATTCCAATTCACAAAGCATGCTGGGGCTATCATAAGTAAAAATGTATTTAATAACAATAGCAGCCTCTTCCGATGCATCAGGGATTGACATTAACCTGAGGTTCAAGAGGGAAAGTAAATCTTTATTGCACATCATAAAACTAGTGACAACAAAGACGCCCACTCAGAAAACCACCTGACATCTTTACACCACTGTCTGTAAAGCAATACATCCCTAGACGCCTGCGTTTCTCTCAGATCAAAAACCATGATGGACAGGCACAACAATTATCTCTGAGAGATGACAGCTGCTGCAGACAACAACTCAACACACTATCATTGAGAGTGGTATTATTGCTGCTAGGTTTGCCTGACACATCATGGAAAAACACACGCACAAACTCCATGCACAATGATGCACATACCCGTACCCACATGTTGTGTGAGCCTGCATGTGTGTGCCTGTGATGCATACATACACATATAGACAACTACAAAAAGACTACAGCAGATACTCATCAATAACAGTAGCTTATAAGATGATTCACAAATACCAACAGGCACCGTGTCTTTACTCTATATGAAAAGAATGACCTGAGGCTCCACTACAGTGGCCCTTAGAGGTCAATTTGAGATGTCTAAGTTGAATCCTGGGTTCTACATATAGATGCTCTGTATTTGTATAGCGTCTTTCTAGTCTTTGCGGCCGCTCAAAGTGCTTTTATAATACATTGCATTCACCATTCACACACATTCATAAACTGAGCCTAAGAGCTCAAACAGAAACTAACATTCACACACATTCATACAAGATGGAATAGCCACCCCGGCAAACCAGGGGTTCAGTATCTTGCCCAAGGACGTTTTGACATGCAGCCTGGAGGAGCCGGAGATTGAACCTCGGATCTTTTGATTAACGGGTAACCCGCTCTACCCCCTGAGACACAGACGCCCCGGTATAGTAATTTGATAAGATTTAAGGAAGTGTCTCTCCTAAAATTTTTTCATATCTGTTCAGTTTCTTCTCTTCGAGGATGGATTACTCAACAGGCAAAGCCCTAGATCCCTGGAGCCCTCGCCCCCTGAAAGCCACAGGTACGCTGCACTTTCACATTTTGCAGTGTGCAGGATATGATATTATGTGAGTATTTTCTTGGTGATGGTGTGTTTGGCATTCATGAAATGAAACACCTGCTTTTTTGAAGAAGATAACTCTAGTGTTTACACTGTTTGGGTGCTGAACCGGGCCATCACTTTTGGGTTCCGCCGTCAATATAACTTTATCAACAACAGAAGAATTTGAGTTTTGGAATCTGAGAATAGCGATTCTTATGTGAATTGATTTTTTCCCCCTCCACCCCAATAATCAATATTTGGAGGACTGTTACATACAGGATATTATGTAGGTATGGTGGCATGTACAACCTCTCTTTCCACCTCTTGTGCTCTCCTTCTGACATTCCTTAAAGCCTCATACATACACATGATCTATGCCTACCTCCAGGTAAGGTACAGGAGCGATGGATGGGAAGGGATATTCCCTTAGCTGTCTCTCCTCATCCAGAAACTTGCCAGCTTTGCCGTTGTAAGCTGGTTGAAATAGGCCATAGTTGAGTACATCTTTCAGGCTCTGGTTGAGAGTACACAGGATCCGCTGCTTGGACAGCCAAATAGGAGCGTCCACATTGAATTTCATACATTTCTGCAAAGACAAGAGCAAAAAAGTGGAGAAGGTTAAGCGCATCGTCATTTCTCTAAATATCACATTTTGCCCTTCAGTTAAGTACAACTAAAAGATTGAATAGTGATATTTTACTGATTTACATAAATATAACATTTAGGTGCTGAAACATATTCTAGACTATTAAATAGGACCTCTTTCATCAGAGAGGCATTTATTGAACTTTCAATGTCATGCCTGGGAGAGAAGCTAGGCCTTTTATTGTAATAAGCAATTCACATAGGTATGGTAGTATTACCATTATCCATTACTTTTCACAAAAGGTCATCCTAAAAACGAGTGGTAGTTACCATACAAAGTCAACAAAACTGTAATATAGGCAAACGCTCTTACAAAAACACTCTTCATACCCATTTTTCAGCAACATAAATTTGAGTCTATATGTGAGTGTGCATTATTCATGCTCTGAAAATTAAGCGGTGCAATGTGTAACTGCTACACCAATGGCTGCAGTAGCTCTGTCTCCAGTCATAAATGAAACAGCTCACAGGTATGGATGCCCGTGGGAAACATGTGTAAAAGAGAATCCACTCGGTTAATTTGTGCGCTCTGATAAACACAGTATATGTGATACATAGACTGAAATCCCCTTCTAAGATATAACCTTAGTACTACTCTCTTTTACATAAATTACTGATGTTAAAGGATGAGATAAAGGTTGGCTGACTGTTAACTGAACCTCACATACTGAGTATGTCTTGTTAAATTTAAAACTTGAAATAAATTACTATGCTATTTTCCAGTCTGTGAAGGACTATGATTATTGTGGCTGGGCAGAGCACTTCCCTCCAGTTACCACATTGTGGAGCTTGGGCTACAGACGGCAGAGAGAGCAGCGAGAGAGAGGGAGTGAGAGGGAGTGTGCAAAACCCACAAGTAATAAATCAATCAATGCTGCCTGCAGTATTGATTCAGAACCTCAACTCTATCCTGTTCAGCACCACTATGTGTCTGACACTCAGACACAACTGTTGAGAAATCACATCTTCACACAGCAATACAGCCAGGTACTCTAACAGTCCAGGTGCAGATGCACACAGCCAGCTCTGACTAAAACTTTTAAAAAAGCATAACATAGTACAGAGAAAAGACAAGTGTCCCAGAAATGATGCTTGCAGTATTCTTGTCACGGGTTTGGGTTTGTGGGGTGTGTTTTGCTCTTCTCTGTAGTTTGCGTATGTATTACTTTGGTCATTTCTTTATTCGTAAGGTTATGAGTTCATCAGTGTTTCTAGTCTTGTTTTACTGTCTCTGTGTTCTTTGCTTTTGTTGTTTGTTAGCAAGTCACTTATGTTTCAGTTATGTTTCATTTTGTGACTCTCTTGTCATGTTTTACTTGCTGTGCTTGTCTCTGATTGTCTGAGTAGCGTAATTAGTTTCTCCCTCACCTGTGTATTAAAGTGGTTATCTGTTCAGTTGTTGCCAGTTCATTGTGGATTTAGTTGTGTGGATCTTGTGCATGTTACCAGTGTTTCTCGTGCCCTTGTGGATTTATTTACTTTCGTTGGACTTTGATTATTACCCCCTTTATGTTTTGATTTTTGTACTTTGTGTTTCTGGGACTGTTTTCACCATTTGTAAAATATGACGCTCTGCTGACAGTGGACTTGACAAGTCTGTGATTGGTCATCTGCTGCTACCACCGCCTATTTAATGTGAACGCGCTCACGACTGGATCGGAAAACCCTGGGTCTTTCCGAAACTGCTTGCTACTCTTCGTACATAGCCTACTTCCACTCCGTTTGCGCGTTCATGTGGAGGGTCCGCCACATTGAGTGCCATCCGAAACCAATAAGGGCGGAGAAGGTAGTGGGTTGTTAAACCCTCAAATGCCGAGTGAGCACCAATGCTGGCTTGTTGAAGGTGTGTAATGCGGCATTCAGACCAAACACGAATTTTCTCTTCGCAACGCTTTCCTCGCATGAGAACATTCGCTGCAAGTGTTCACACACAAGGCGAGAAGGCGATTTTAACGCGATAACATGAATAAACACAACTGGAAAAAAGCTAATTTAATAAAAGCAGTTAACTCCGAGCTCCTCCTGCGAGTAAACAGCGTAGTTGTCGAAGTTGCAGAATCCGACCGACTACGCGGGTTTATTTGTCCAAAGGTTGCAGCGCTGCTCCCTGCTCCTCTCCCCCAAGTTTAGCAGCTCTCAGACAGCCAGCAGATTTTCAATCCCCCGCTCTGCCTGGCCCTCTCCACACATCGCTTTGAAGCCGTCGGTGATGTACGGACAATCTCAACACTGATAGGCTACCTCAGTGTCATGCGACTTTCTCGCTTGAGTTGAAAATATTCAACTCATGTGAATTCCTTCGCGTTGCCTTCGTGTCGCTGGCCGCGCCGCCTGACAGGAAATCGCGGCTCTACGCGTCTTTGCCTTGACTTTGTATGTAAACTCACCGCCCCAAACGCTCGCTTCGCTTTTGGTCTGAAAGCACCATAACACCCTTTGCTGCACGATGGGAGACCTTTCTGTCAATTTGCGTTCCGTGTGACCGGTTAACATGTAGAATTTTTTATTTCGAAACTACACTAACATTGTCACGTCACCATTCACAGGTTAACAACGTAGCCCATATGATTTATATTGAAATGTTGTATTTGTGAATGTAACATTTTTCATATAGGCTAAGTTAAAGAGGTTCAAATATATATTTGGCTTTTATTTACAATGATTATCAATCTTTTCATAAAAGAATATAATATTTATTTTTCGTAAATATATAAAGTCATGTTCTTAAAGAAATATTCGACATGAACACAAACACAAAATATTATTCGACACGAACAAAACACAAAATGAATGACAAATGCTTTCAGTTTTGTTATTTGATACACGTATTATAGCAGTGAGTGCAGCGGTAACGTCAGATCCTATTTATGGTGGAGAGAGACTGTAGTTCGTCCGAAAGTTGTCGCTGTATTTAAACCCTACGCGGGGAGCTCAATTTGGCCTGGAGGGTGACCAGAGTTCACTCCGTGTCAGAGTGGAAGTAGCGAGGGTCTAGTTTCGGAAAGGCCCCCTGGGTTGAGTTGATAACCAGCTTCGTGGTACCGCTTATGCCGATCGCGATTGTTAGGGTTAGTTAAGTCAGATAATGAAAACATATCTGGGGTATGTTGAACTCGCTTTGTGGTACAGGCCCCAGGGGTGCTTCTCAAGTCTCTTATTTGTCGTTTCCTCGCTTGAACCAGAAGTTGCTCCGCTATCTTGCAGGCTGTGTCCAAAGCTCTAATAGAGAGCCTAAGTCCCTCCCCATCCGGTGGACCACCATGGAGCCTTATTTCGGAAAAATATTGTAGGTAGTCAATGGCAGGAGACAACAAATATTTTGATCCCGTTTGAATTGTGCCCTGAATTACACGTATGATCTTTGTCGATTTAAAAGATACGTTTTAAAGTAAAGAAGGTTGTAGTTTGATGTAAAACGGTTGAGATATAAGACTGTGAAAATACGTAGTTACAAAGACCACAAACCCAAAAGTCACGTATGTGACGTCGTAACATTCTCTGTCAATGACTGAAGCTAACGTTACTGAACATCACACTTACACTTACATGAGAGGATGATGTGAAAAAGAGCCAGGAGTTGTTGGATTAAACACATCAGGTGAGATATATTTCTGCGTGGAATATAGCTACATTATCTAGCTAGTAGCAAGAAAGCAATGAACATTAGCTAGCTTTACCGCAACATGTTGGTGACATATATTGTGCGAGACGAGAGATGTAGTTCATTGAGCGGTTTCAGACAAAACGACATGTAAATTTACTGTTTTACAACTTTCGACTTTCTTGACTTGCAAAATTCTATTTTAAATTGACCAACATCATATGTGTAATTCAGGGTTCAATTCTAACGGGATAAAAAGATAAGTTGTCTCTCGCCATTGACTACCGTACATAATTTTCCCAAAATAAGGTCCCATGAGCCGGAAGTGGAAGTGAGTGACTTAGGCTCTGTATTTGCGCTCCGAGGAGCGAGGAACAAGGATTGAAGAGCGAGGATACACCAGTGCATCCTTCGCGGAAGTCTTTTACTGACCAACACGCCTCCTTACTAGGTAGCCGTTATATTGATTGGACGCTGCAGCTGATCAGACAGATCTGATGCATTACAACAGATAACATTAACTCAAGTGCATCACTGCAGAGAGTTAGGCTATATCTGATTTGTTTTATGATTCACTGTCTAGTTAAAATCTGAGTTCATTGTAGGTCTGAACAACAAAAGCCTACCACACAACTTTCTTCATTTAGCCTATTAGAAAGATTTTATTTTTCTTTTATTTCTCCCATCAACTTTTATTATGGAGACAATTAAAGTCAGAGAAAATCGGAGAGTCTGTCAGCAAAAAACATTAATCATCATGTCTATTCAGTCACAGGTGAAGCTGGTCGTTTAGTCCAAATAGACGACTATTAAACATAGTAAACAAGTTAAGAGTCGGACAAGTCACTAAACTGCACTTAAGACTCTAATGAAGCAAGCAAAGGAAAATAAAGCCGATCCAGCCGATCTCACCTACTGCATCTGATGAAATATTGACAGCTCCGTGAGTAAAATCAGCTGACCAAAGTATGAATGAAAGCCGATGCGCTAAAAAATAAGCGTCGGATTGATATGATAGAACGCACGATCGATCAGAGACCAGTGATGTGACTTGCATAAATTTAATGTAGCCTATGCAGTAGGCTAGTGTTATAGGATATCAGAAGAACAAATAAACTGAAAGCCTAAAACTGATCATCGACTTAAGTGACATCATTTCAATTTCTCTTAAACCTTTAGTCTAATAAATCCCAAGACATCATATTCTGGGTTATTCAATAACAAATTTACAATTTAGAATCTAAAAATATAAATGCAGATAATGGGAGTATTGTGCCAGTAGAAATTATCCTGTGCCTCTGAGCAGGACAGAAAGCTATAACTATTCATGTGCAGGTGTT